CACATTCATCATATTGAAAAGTTTTTGCACGTTATCGCTGAAAAAGGTTTTAAATTAAAATTAGAAAAATTTAAGTTTGCTGCTAAAACCGTTAAATATCTTGGACATTTTATTAAAAAAAATAATAAAGTAGCACCAGCTCAAGAAAATTTAATCGCCATCAAGAATCTTAAGAAACCACAGATAAAACCAGATAAAACAGGAGTTAGGAGGGTACTAGGATCTATTAATTTCTACTTGAAATATATTGAAAATAGTACTACAAAATTTTAACCACTGCATAGACTTTTGAGAAAAAAAGTTAAGTTTCATTGGTCTTAAGACTGTAAAGATTGTTATAACTGGATAAAAGAACATTTATGTTTTCAACCAATTTTAGCCATTTACAATCAAGCCAAGACATTTACATTGAAACCGATGTCAGTTATAAAGGAATGAGAGCTACTTTGAAATAACTATTAATACATTCTGATGGTATATTACATCTTGTCACATACTTTTCAAGAAAAATATCAAAAAAAGAATTTAAAAAAGAAAATAAAATATAATGGCTGATTTACTTTCTCGATCATCAGTATTGGAATATTTTTAAAATGATGATGCAGTCCATCTTGTTAATTTAATTGAAAGACCTAAAATTCTTCAAATGATAACATGGCTGAATTAAAAACCGCCAACAAGACCGAAAACGCCATAGTATTATTTACAAAAAATTGAAGGACAAATAGAGGATATTTACTTCTAATAAATTTAGCTCATGAATAATAAAAAAAGGTGCATGAATATTATTGACATATTGCAGCTGGAAAATTAAGAAAGAAAAAAAACCATTCTATTATTTCAAAAACTTTGATCAATTAATTGAAGAATCACTATATGTTTATAGAACAAAACCAGAAGAAATAAAATCTTAGGATTAATGTCAAAATTAGGACCCGCAACAGAAATATTTCAAATTATGCCCTTTGGTACAGTTGATGGTTTGCTAGTAATAGATCACCAAAGAAATATATGCATATTTTAGTGGACTATTTTAGTAGATATGCTTGGATCTCCACTACAAAAAGTCAATGTGCAGCAGATTTCATAAAGTTAATTGGCCCGATTGCTAAGAAAAATAATATTAAAAAACTTATAGACGACCAGTACACTGGAATTAATTCCAAAGAACATAGGCTGTATCTCAACAAGATGAAAATTCAAGTGGTTTTTATATGTAAACCAAACACTTGTAAAAAGAATAAGATGTAAACTTAACAGTGGAGTAAAACAGGCATGGTCCGTCATTGCAGACAAATGTGACAAAGAACACAATCGTACAATTCATAATTCCACAAATTTTGAACCGGAATACTTATTATATGGCATAAAGTCAACTATCACCCCAGATATCTTACCAGAAAACGACTTAGTTGCAGGTAGAACACAGGCCTGTAAGAATTTGATGCAAAATTTTGAAATAAACAAGAGGAGAGTTGACAAAAATCGTCAAGAATACAAATTCAAAGTGGGCAATCAGGTCTACGTCCAGAATGGGAGTAAACTCAATCGAAGTAAAATGGACAAAATAAGGATGGCCTGTTTAAAATTCTTAGAAAGATGTCACCGTCGTCTGTGGAAAGAATAAGGAATCAAACTTTTTTCACATTAATAAATTGTCACTTTATGTACCTCAAAAAGTGACTTGAAGGATGGATACGTAAATTATATATTATATTATTGTATGTTATATTATATCTATGTTTAAGATTTGCCGAATTTCTATTCTTTGCTTATAGCGTGACTTTTTACTATCGTTTATCTTGATACGTGGTCAGTTTTATTATTGCATGTTATTATCTTGGTATCCTTACCTGGAATTAAAATTTTTCTTTTTTAGGTTGGTAATTCATATTGTTTTATTATTTCATGTTGTTTTATTTGATTTTATTTATTATTATGTTCTTTCTTTATTTGGAATTTCTTTTAGATAAATATTTTATAACTACATTTTTAATATAATTTGAAGTATTTTATTCGGAATGCCCCCCAACGTCGTGTTGTGTTTTATTTCCTTATAATTTACACAATAATAGAAAATATAGATTAATGAAGTATTTTTAAAAATTTACTGCAGTCAGTAGCATTTAAATATTTATTGCCTAACCTGAGAAGCCGATTTTTTGGATCCTTTTATCTTTGCAAGATTATTATCGATATTTTCACGCAAATTTTTTCGGTTATCAACTGGGTAGACAGCTTTATTGCATGTGGTTTGGTAAATTTTTTTACAAACGTTGTTTGCGTTATTTTTTAATAGCATTTTTCCATCTGCACACTCTTTTTTAGCGTAGTTATTATTACCGGTGGTAAATTGACTATTAGTAATTCGATTTGTAATTGACAGAAGAGGAAATTTCGGCGGACTATCGCAAGTGGCTGGAGATAATTCTTCAGGGAAGAAACCATCAAAAAAAAAATTATCGTTAGAGATCTTTTCCAATGCTGGTCTATTTGAGGCTTCAGATAACAGGCGCTTGATAAGATTTCTGGCTGTCATAGAAATGTGAGGCGGTATAGAAAACTTATTTGTTACTATTCTTAAATATGTTTCTTTTAATGAAGAAGTTTCAAACGGCGGTCTTCCGCATAATAATGCGTACCTGTTTTATCAATATTAAAAAATTATATCAACGATCAAAATAGTAGTTGAAACATGGTAATTTACTTATTTTACATTAGTACAGTTGAAAAAAGATTGTCTTACATTACACATCCCATAGCCCAAATATCGGCTTCATAACTATGGCCAACTTTTTGGAGAACTTCAGGAGCTATGTAATTTGGAGTTCCACAAACAGTCCTTTAGGAATAAAAATAAAATAAATGCAATAAATGTAGCTCAAGAAAAATATAAAGTTTGAAATTTTTTTAAATTAACCGCGAAGTATCATCTAATTATGATGAGCCGTATCTGAATCCCTCTTCTTCATGACTTTTCTCAAAACTCTCACACGAAAACTCACTTTTATGTCTTTCATTTTTAATCTATCTTCTCATATTTTAAATAATTTTCTTATTGCTAAAAGTAAGTTTCTTTTATCCCCCTGCTTATAACCTTAATATTTTCAGCAAGCAACTTATAAAAATTTTTTTCTATTCCTCAACATAAAACTGTTTCTTGGGTTCATTTAAAAGTTAACTTTCAAACAATAATATTAAAATGGTAATGCACACATGAATGTTCATTACAGGTCACACTTTTCGATTATACAGATAGAAGAGGACGTATTCAAAACCAGTCAGTGAAAGCGGGACCTGGCAACTTTAGTCATTAGGCTATTACACGCCGCCCGTTATTAGAGAGTTACAAAAATAGTGATAAAGTCAGAGGGCTAGAAAATATAGAAAAAAAATCTGAATTATAAATCATAAATATCCAAATACAGCAAGAATGCAAAAAATATAAAAAATATGAAAAATAACTTAATGTTTTATGTATGAATGTGGTACTTACATTATACGTAAAAAAGTAATGCAAAAATGTAACTTACAGTTTGCTATAATAAACAATTATTTTTTAAAAAATACTAGAACAAGAAAAAATAAATATGGTTTTAGGGAAATTAGAGTAGAACAAAAAAACCACTCATATCAATTAATGTTTGCTGAGTTTGCTGGCCGCATATTTCAGTTAACCTTTATAAATTTTGTTCGTGTTAGCGAAATTATTTTCGTTCTGTAGAAACAATTTTATATATAAAATCCTACGGAGAGTTGGGTCTCTGGACGCTAAACGAAGATTGATTAACATAAAATCCTAAGGGGCACAAAAAATCGCTATTTAGAGATTTTCGTTGTATAGATTTCGTTATAAGAGGTCAGACTACGTAATATTTTAATTATTTTACCTAAAATTCTTTTTTAATAATAAATACAATATATAAATTAAAAGAAATGAACATAATTTTTACAGGTGTAAAAAGAAACCTATATCCTTGGATGATTTATTAAGACAACCGTTAATATAACAAATCGTAATTTTTAATATAATTTATAATTAACAGCTAACAATTAGTTTTTTTCCAAAATTATTTTGAATAAAATAAAAAATGATCGTTATTTACAATCCAGTTATTCCTTTTAGTTTTCACGTTGTGGGACAATGTTTTGACCGATATATAAAAAACGAAAATACTAAGGTTTAAGAAAATTTGCGCTGTCTCAAATTGTTAATAATACATACGTAAACAAAATTCAATTGTTACTATGCCACTATTTAATCAAATTTTGGAAACACCTGCTTAAAACACTATGCAAGAGTTGGGAAAAGTTTGAAACACAGCTGGTATTAGCAACGCAGCTGCTAGCTCACACGTTAGATTTCGCAATGCTTGGTCAACAAAACAGTTTACACAGTTGTCTAAGCTCTGTCGAGGCTCGCACGTTGACCAAGCACTCATTTTGAAACAGTAGCTACAGAGGCCCAAAGAGTCAAATGTTGTGTTCATGTGTAAATCACATCAAGTGCTAAAGGAATGTAAAATAGGTCGGAAAAATATCAAACATTAAAAACATGGTCCAAAATCTGATCTCAAAAACTTATAAAAACATGAAACACAAAAAATATAAAAAATTAACATAAAAATATAAATATTAATAAGCTAAATAAATATATGGCCTAACATTAGCAATATTTTTAAGGTAAACAAATTTATTTTGCGCCAAATTTTGTTTTAAGACTGCTGAAGAATTGAAAAAAAAACTAACATTTTTTTTTCTCCTTCAAATTCAATTTTAGTTGCCAATCCAAAATCAGCAATTTTTAAGTGCATGGATGAATTCAGGAGCATGTTGCCTAATTTTAAATCCCTATGAATTATTTTCTGATTGTGGATATATTTTACCCCATTGGTAAGATGGTGCATATAATATCTAACTTCTGGTTCTGTGAGAGATTTTCTTCTTTTTAAAACGTGAACAAGTGACTGTGAAAAGGTAACAAAAATTTTTTAATTAAAAATTTTTGTAAAATTGTAGGCAAAGCAAACTTTGATCGATTAAAAAAGTTTGTTGAATAAAAAAATCTATTTCAAAAACTATGACACTATCAATATTGACATAAAATAAATAAAAACATTTAATACAAACAACAGACTAAAATGCTATCAGTAAAAAAACCGAGCGAAAGAAATTCAAGAATTACTAATATACTTTTCTATACAGTTAAAGGTAAATAACAGGAAAAGATAATTATTCCAGTTGTTTCAAAATTATTATCAACGATACACTTACGACTTACGAAAACACGTGAGAAAGCCAACCATTTATTAATGGCATTATAATATTAATTTATAATTGCATCTGATGAGCGTTAGAATAAAAATGTTTTTATTCTTTAAAAGTTTTAAGTAACAGATGCAATGGTATAAATATAATAAAAAGCAATATAAGAATAACATAAATTATAGAAAATGAATGAAACTGACAGAAAAGACGTAAAATGGTAATGGAAAAACAAAATACTGGTATCAAAATATAATGGAATGAAATAAAAAACGAAAAATGTATAAAAGTTAATAAATAAAAACAAAAACAAAACAGGATCAGTGGCCTTTAGTAATACTTCACATATTACTTTATATACCACCTTTCGTATATATAAATAACCCGCTTTGCGAGATTAAACACAATTAAATTCACTTGGTTCACAGCATGGAAGACCAATTAAAAATTAATATTTCATTTAATTAGTGAATGGGCAATAAACAACGGCAGCAACAGCAACTATCAAATCTTTGTCAAGAAATGAATCTTCTTTGAACTTTTTCGACATTAATAATTTGATATTTATAGTGAGGACACCAAACAGTTGAGCAATATTCCAGTAGAGGACGGACATAAGTGCAAAAAGCCTTGTTGAGCAAATCTTTATCCTTGGATGTAAAGCATTTAATAATAAGACGAGCACGGGTAGAAGATCTATGCGCAATGTTGTTAATATGATGTTTAAAACTTAGTTTATTATCAATTATTACACCTAGATCTTTAAAATATTCGACAGGTGTCAGAATGTGATTATCAATCACATACTGATTGATGGCAGTAACGTTTTTTGAACATGGTAGAAATGAGCAAAGAGAACATTTGTTAGGAGAAAGCGGTAGTTGTCATCTGATGCTCCATGCGATAATATCGTTAAGGACCTGTTGCCGTTGGAATGAATTTGATGAACCGGCATACAATTTGATATCATCAACAAAGAGCAGCATAGAGACATGTTGAGATGAAAGGCAGTCTTCAATATCATTGATGAAGATGAGAAACAGGTGGGTCCCAAAACGCTGCCTTGGGGTACCCCACTTGTTATTGCAACTGGACTGGACAGTTTATTTTGAATCTTGACTAACTGTGAACGGTTATATAGAAAATCTGTTAACCATCCGAGCAAATTTCCGCCAATGCCATACGCTTTTAGCTTACAGATTAGCTTTGTGTGCGAGACTGAGTCGAAGGCCTTTTGAAAGTCGAGATAGACTGTCGCATCTTTCCTTTCTTTGGCGAATTAATAACAGATCGCTTAGAAATCTGAGGAGGTTAGTAGATGTTGATCTGGCAGGCAAAAAACCGTGCTGAAATTTGAATATTAAATTGTTATTTAACAAATAAGATATTATATTATTCTTGACTATTTTTTCCATAACTCGACAAGATGAGCAGGTAAGTGATATTGGTCTATAATTGCTGGGGTAATTGGTTGGACCCTTTTTATGGATTGGACCCTTTTTATATATATAATATATATATATATATAATATATATATTTAATATTGAAACATTGTTATTGTTCTATAGTATGTAGAGACATCGCAAAAATGATCGAAAAATGTAGATTCAGCCACGATGGACTGAGCAAGAAACCTTCTACAAGAAGAATAGTAAATAAAAATAGCTTCTATAATTAGAATGCAGCGAAACGGCTTAAAATAAATGTTGTTCCTGAAAACTTTAGAAGAATTAAAAAAACTTTTAATGATGAGACGGAATAAGAACTCATAAAACATAAAATATTGGATTCAATGTTTTATGGAATGACTGCAAAATGTATGAAAGTTGTTGCCTATGACTTTGCGGAAAAAATAATATTGATCACCAAAACAAAGGAACTCTGAGTTTGAGTAATTTGTGTCAATAATTTCTTTGTTGATAGGATCGTTACAGCCTGTTGTTTGATGCTTATTACAGGATTTCTATTTTCTATTCTCTGCCATTCTCAAACTGCTTATATTATGGATGTAAAATAAAACTTTGGTATTTGAGTTTAATATTTCCCTTGTTATTTTTATTTGGTATAAATTTATTAGATGACTTTTTATTGCACCATTTTGTGTATGCATTGTTAACCTTCTTGATGAAGTCATAATAGCAAATCCGAAATATTCTCTGTTTCGGTGCCTACAATCACCGATTTTACAATCAAAAGAATATACTAGATGACTGCTCTTCATTTTCGATTCTGGTTTAGCATTGCAATTATTTTTAAGAACAAGGGATGAGGGTTTGTCACACACACACACACACACACACACACACACACACACACACACACACATATATATATATATATATATATATATATATATATATATATATATATATATATATACTAGATGACTGTTATCACTTGTTCTTAAAAATAATTGCAATACTAAACCAGAATCGATAATGAAGAGCAGTCATCTAGTATATATTATTATTATTATTATATGATCATTTATATAGCGCCTATTAAAAACATTCTCATAGGCGCTTTACAACTATGGCAATTTTCTACAAGAAAAAAAGATGTTTTCAATTGACTTTTGAACTGGGGAAGTGTCAGACCAGACCGGCGCAAAAAATATGGAAATTCATTCCAATGCCTTGGTACATAAACTGCAAAACTACGTGATGCAATCTTTAATTTAGTAACCGGGACCCCTAACAAATTTCCCCGATCTGATCGTAGGCCAGTTTTTAAAGAAATCGATGATCTGTCAATCAACATTTCGGACAGATATTGCGGAACCAATCCGTTTAAGCATCTATAAACAAAAACATAATATACATAAGCATATATATATATATATATATATATATATATATATATATACATTACATATATACATATATATATATATATATTATTTAATTATTATTATTTAATGCATTTGTATAGCGCCTATTAAATGAAATCTCACAGGCACTCTCAAAATCCAGTAACAATAAATTAAAGAAATGATTGTCAAAAGTCAACAGTTTATCCACAATGTACATTAAACGAATATACAATGTATACTTGCATAATATAAAAAAGCGGGTAAATGAAAAAAAAATTAAGTCAAATTAACAAATAATAAATTTAAAGTTTGCAAATAAAATATGGCACTAGTTCCATATCATCGTTTCACATCAAAACATGTCCTGATATTGACATCGGCATTTCTGGTGCTGCCACTTTTGCTGTTGTTATTGAAAACCCAATTCCTAACCTGAACATAATCAGGCCAAGAAATTGATTTTTCAACTATTTCCGCATACTTCTCATTTACACACAACCGGAATGACGTAGAAGTGTGGGTTTCATCAAGTTTTATTTTGTCATCTCTCCTCTTGAATACAGGGTAGCAAGACAAAACTTTAACATCAATTGACTCAAGGTGGTCAACAACATTGGATGCACAAGTCTTTGAAACATTACCAATGTGATAAAATTTTATACTTTATATTGCGTAGGCCTATGAGGTTCAACAGTGGTCTTTGATATTGCATGACAATATGGACTTGCATTAGTTGATAGTAAAATGTTTCTTCTTTTCTTGCGTCTGACTGTTATAAAATTTCCATCATCATTGTTACCTTCTTCAGCAATGTCAGACAAATTTTTAGCGACTGATGTCTTAGCATCTGAATCTCCGTCAGAGCATACATCACTGCACACGATACTGTTCACCTTTTTTTGGACATCACTCAGTATATTGCCATGCTCTTCAAGAAATTTCAGGACGGCCGGACTATTTTGAATAACACTTTTTTGCAACCTCACCTGTTCAGCTGACAATTTCTCGAATCTATTGTCACAATTAGTAACTTTCCACAAGTCATCAGCAAGAAAACAGAGAAATTTGTCTTCGACTTTAGTTTCAAAAATTAACCGACATATACTAAGAAATTCGTCCCACATTTTATTCTTGCCAACGTCTTCGGAAAACTCCGGCAGACTGAGCGATAATGTGCTGGCTTCATGATGCAAAAACTTTGCACTTTTTTTACATCGTCAACTTCAAAAAATTCGCAAAGAGAAGTTTTCATTTCCGTTTCATTTATCTGGTTTCGAACATACCAAATATAACACAATAACGTACCAATTAAGTATTTTTTATCGCTTTTAACCTCGACAATTATTCCTTCCGCAATTTTCCAAAGATTAGATTATAATAATAATAAAATAATATATATATATATATATATATAGAGAGAGAGAGAGAGAAGGAGAGAAAGAAAGAAAAAGAGGATTTGGAACGAGGCTTTCTTTCATGCATATGTCGTTAAAATTAAATGCCCATGGTGAGTTCAAAAGTATTTTAACACCAGATTCAACAAGACGTAATTGTTTATACTTTTATTTATTCAAATTATCCACAAATTCTGGTCGGTTTAAAGCAGGGTTTCGTCTAAATTGCCACCTCCGGAACCAAATTTGATTACTAAGAATAATGCTAAATAACAGTCAGACAAAAGTTGTAATAAAATGTTTGGATAGAGTCGCTGATTAAAGTCCAGTTCAGCCGACGAAACTACCAAATTAATTTTTGACAGAATTTATGACAACAACAACAATATCCGGATAAACCTTAAACAACTACTGGAGATTAGTACAAAGGAATGTCAATTTTTCGGCCGAAATAGCAAATTGTATGAAAAAGTAAATGGAATAGCAATGGAAGGTCCAAACAGGTTTCATATGCCAATTTTTATCCTTGTTGTGTAGAAAAAAAGGTATTTGACAAAACAACGGTACATAGACGATATTTTATTTTAGCAGAAAGTGAACACAATATCATCATTATCAAGAACCTCCTCACAAATAACTCAATACAAAACTTCACAGTTGAGGACGCAGAAGACAACATCCTCAACTACCTCAATATTAAAGTCAAAAACTCGACACATAAGTGTACGTGAAAGGAACTAACGCAAACTCATGTCTGAAAGGATATAGTATATGCCCAGATAGATAAGGAATATTGTATCCCACGTGAGTCGAGCCATTGGCCATTGTAGCATCGTCCCAGTCGCTAATCAACAATAAATTTAAAAGAATTAAACAACAAATTTAGGTGAACATTACCTTGATAACGTCGGCAAATAAATTAATTTAAAAAATAATTTTTGGAAATTGAATTCACAATTTGGATTATAAGCATAAACAGTTGATGGGAAAGCTGGAAAACTTAATGAAAAAATGCAACAATCTGATAACTTTAATCGAATTCATCATAATATGTATAAAAAAATATCCTGCCTGTGTTTATCTATAGATAAACACAAGTGCTTCCAATAAAAACTTGTTTAAAAGATTATTTGAATGCCAAAAGTAATATAAACATTTAGTCATTCACTATCCCCAGAAATAAGCTCGTACAGTGGAGATATGTTTATTAGCCAAATAAGTGATCCACTATTCGGTTGAAGCCAATTGAAGCCGAGGGTCAATAAAATAGTAAATAATAAAAAAGGCAAAATTTATAAAAAATTCCATTTAGGATGAAAACAAACTGTTTCAAAAACAGAAGGCGATTCACGCCTATCAAACAATTCTTTATCGTTTTAACAGATATGATGGCCAAAAAAAGTCATTATTAGCATTTATTGTTCTGGAATCCAAAACAGTTAAACGAAAGTTGCAGGCCTTTAGTGACACAACAACAAAGTCAGAATAATATAGCGTTCTGCATTATTTCAAAAAATTCATAACACAACAAAAAAATAATTTAATTAACGTTTATTTAAAAAAAAGATGGTAAAGAAATTTCGATCAAATTAATGCAGAAATTTAAATTTTTAAAATAATGGAATTTATTAATTAGAAAAACCAAACCTTTCTGCTACACATTTCTAGAACCATGTAAACTGATGTAGAATCCTCAAAAAAACTATGAAAACCGACCACATTTTTATGGTTGAGACACGAATGTAGTTCTACTTCTCTTAAAATCTTTAAAAAAGTGTTTAGTCGTTATTAAAGTTTTTAACGTTCAACGAAAGTAGTCAATAAGATATGTTTGAAAAAAAAAATAACAATTTTAAAATGATGATAACGTTAAAAATATTGGATAATGTTGTTAATGCAGAATTTAAAAGTTACACCTGCTACTTTTACTTAAGCCGTTTGCCACTTTTTTCGGTATTCCTATACCATCTTCGGTGTTCAAATTGTTCACGTAAGTGTTATATTTTACGATGTTGTAGATTGTAAAACTAATTATTCACTTTAAACAAATAAGGAATCAACAAAGTAGAGTAGAGGCACAGTATATATATATATATATATATATATATATATATATATATATATATATATATATATATATAGTTTGTGACCCAGCGTCATCCGACAACCGTCATTGCGTCGGTGGATGTATTATGTGATACTTAATATTTGATCTATACATCGATATGTATCTTGCATGTATATATATGTATTTATATTTAACTATGTATCCGTAGGTCTGATGTGGAAACTCGTATCACACATATTCAACCGCAATAGTTGTATTCACAACGCATACACAGCAATATTATATATCTGGCGCACATGTCATTCGCAATTAGTTTTCACTAACGTTTTTCAACCATGTTAAAACTTTTATAAAATTTCTATATTTTAATTATTTTACTAAACATTTTATTTAAATTACATTATTTTATTTATATAATCTACATAAACTTTAGTTATTATGATATTTACAACAAGGTTAATTTATTTCACAATTTAATACATATTTTATTTTCTATATTTTCACATTTTACATTAGACATTTATTTTAATTAAATTATATGTTTAAACAATATTTAGGCTCTGAAGATGGCATTACGCCGAAACAGCGCTGTTAGCTTTATTCCAGTTTTAGATAAATATGAACTCAAACAATACCGCCTCGTTGAATGTATTATAAAGAAGTTAATTAATGCAAAATGGGCAAACAATTTCAATGAAATTTGCATATATATATATATATATATATATATGTTGATATATGTTGGTAATAGACCATAATTTTTACAATATTCTATAAATTCTACTGAATGTTTGGCGTTTTTTCAATTTTTCTCACTAAAGTTTTTTGGTGAACGTTTAGTTTATTAAAATTTAAAATAAACTTATTTTCCGAATTCATGCCGCAAATAAGACCATATTTCGATTCCAAATGAATCATCATCAGTGCTTTCTGCTGTTTATATAGGGAAATATTGACTTTGTCAAAATGAACTTAGATGGAGATTGACTTTGTCAAAGTGAACTTAGATGGAAACGAATGTTTGGCGTTAATATGTTTGTAGTTCGTTTTTTCAATTTTTCTCACTAAAGTTTTTTGGTGAACGTTTAGTTTATTAAAATTCAAAATAAACTTATTTTCCGAATTCATACTGCAAATAAGGTCATCTTCTTTGGTCTCCTTTTTTTATCGATAGCATCATATTCTTCTTTGTCACTATTTAAAATGCTAGTTTTATCTGCTGTTTATATAGAGAAATATTGACTTTGTCAAAATGAACTTAGACGGAGATTGACTTTGTCAAAGTGAACTTAGATGGAAATTAGGTGTCAGGTTTCTTTTATTGGCTGGTCATCTTCTTTTGTCTCCTTTTTTTAATCAATAGCATCATATTCTTCTTTGTCACTATTTACAATACTAGCATACTTGTTGTAATGGGTTGTAATGTTGTTAATGTAATTAAAGTGAAATTGGGTTTATTAAATATCAGGTCGATAGAAAGGAAGTTTAACGTAATATACGGTTTGATTGCCGGAGGCTTGGACATATTTGTGGTGACGGAGACGTGGCATGAATCATCTGAAAACCTTTCTGTGGAATTATCTATGCCTCCCGGTGATCGATTTTTGAATGCCGTGAGAGTCAATGATCCTTCTCATGGAGGCTTAATTTTTTTTGGTCCGATTTTTAGATACAAAAAGATGGAAATGCCTGTGGTTACGACGTTTGAGGTTTTGGCAGTCAGATTGATCCACGAGAGTCAAGATTTTATAATACTTGCCATATACAGACCAGGTTCTGCGCAATTGTCGGCGTTATTTTTCAGTGAATTAATACTAATCTTGGACAATGTAACTGTATTCAGTTCTAGAATTGTATTGACCGGTGACTTTAACATTCATATAGAAAGGGATAATGATCTTCATGCTGTAGCCCTAAGGGAAATTTTTGAAAATTATCATTTAATGAATCATGTTGGTGAGCCTACTCATTCTCTGGGAGGTACGCTGGACTTAGTGGTCACCTCGGCAAATTGGCCGGTACTGGACTGTGTGGTCTTTCCAATGGGGTATATTCAGATCATGGTCTGGTTTAGGTAAGTCTGTCAAGTACCCGTACTTGCACTCGCCGTAAGTGGAGGACGTTCAGATCATGGAGTCGAATGAAAGATGATGAGTTCATTGATGTGTTTCTTAAATCTCCAATTTCAAGGCCGTGTACAAGCGACAATGCTGATACAGAATTCCAACTTTTCGTTGATGAGCCAATAAAAATTGCTGATTTAATTGCTCCATTCCGCACTGTTTTGGCTATACGGGATCGGGTAGCACCATGGTTTGATGATGAATGTATTCGAATGAAGCATGTTTGTAGAAGAAAAGAAAGAGTGTTTAGAAAAAGTTTGAAAACCACTCATCGTGAGGAATGGAAATCTGCCCTAAAAGAGCAATATAATCTTTTTGCTAGTAAACGCCAATTGTACTGGATCGGAATTGTTGATTAAAACAAGGGTAATCCAAAAAACCTATGGAGGGTGATTGATAGAATTCTTTGCAGGAGTAAAAATGAAGATATTGATGTTGATACTAATGTGTTGTCTGCTAATCAATCTTTGGATTTTTTGCGGAGAAATTACTGAAGGTGAAGCAGGATGCAAAAATTTTGGAATGTCTGGGCCTCATCTGTTCAGAGTTTGTAATCAGAGATACTTTTACTTCATTTTCAGAGGTTACTGATGATGTATTATAATGGTAGTTAAGAAATCAACGGAAAAATCGTGTCAACAAGATATTATTCCAACTGACATTATAAAGAAACATGTTAATCTGTTTGCTCCTTTTTTGACAAGTTTGGTTAATCTGTCTTTGAAAACTGGTCAATTTCCTGTGGGGTGTAAACATGCAATTGTGCATCCTCTTTTGAAGAAAAATAATCTCGATCCTGGTGAAATCAGCAGCTACAGACCGGTTTCTAAACTCTGTTTTACCTCTAAGCTTATTGAACGGTTGGTTGCTAAACAGATACTGGATCACTTGAAGAGTAACAATTTGTTGCCTGTTCATCAGTCTGGCTTTAGACAGTGCCATTCTACAGAGACGGTGCTGTTGCAGGTTTTTTCAGATCTCTGTTCAGCAATGGATGTACAAAAGATATCACTCCTGGCTTTCCTAGATATAAGTGCGGCGTTCGATTGTATTGATCACAGGATTCTTTTAGATAGATTGCAATATGGTTTTGGTTTTTCTGATGGAGTGTTAGAATGGATGAAATCTTATTTGGTTGGTAGATCTCAGCAAGTATCATTTGGAGGTAAGATGTCTGACGTCAGTGGGGCTGTCTTTGGTGTGTCACAGGGGTCGGTTCTTGGCCAGTTGTTGTTTCTGCTCTATACGTCAGAGGTATTTAACGTAGTTGAATTATTTGGGTTGAAAAGTCACGCTTTTGCGGACGATATTCAAATAATAGCTAATAGTACAATAGATTCATTTTCGTTGGAAATGAAAAAATTTGTAGATTGCTTGTCAGCTGTTGATTTATGGATGTCGCAAAATGGCTTGAAATTAAACCAAAATAAAACTAAACTTTTGCCGGTGGGAACATGGAAGCAGTTGTCAAAATTGAAGATAGACTCGATCACAGTTGATGAAGAGACAATTTTATTTTGTAACAATGCGACTAATCTGGGTGTGATTTTTGATTCAAATCTAACAATGAAGCACCATATCAAAAGGGTTTCAAGAGATTGCATTTATCAGATTAGAAGATTGAAACAAATTCGTGGATCATTGAACGTCTCTACGCTTCAGACGCTGGTTCATTCATTTGTTCACCCGAGAGTTGATTACTGCAACAGTTTGTATTATGGATTGCCGGACAAGTCCATCCGTGTATTGCAGTCTTTGCAAAATCGTGCGGCTAGGGTTGTGGTTGGCGGTCGATGGGATGATCATGTGACACCTATACTTAGAAATTTGCACTGGCTAACTGTTGATAAGAGAATAATTTACAAAATTTTTATTTTGATGTATAAGGTACTCAGAGGTAGTGCTCCAAAGTATCTGCAAGATAGGATCAACAGTGATTTGCACGTCCGACCGGAATTTATCTAAGATCATTTGATATGAATCGGTTGATAGTTCCTGCTACAAATTTGTGTATTGGTTCACGAAGCTTTTGCTGTTTCAGGACCGACTATCTGGAATGGTCTGCCGGCTTCGCTCAGAGACATTGGGTTGACCATAACAGGCTTCAGAAAGAAACTCAAAACATTTTTGTTTTCTTTACAGTAATATCTTAATTTTTGAATTGTTCTATAGTGTTTTTTTTTAATTGTGTTGAATTGTTACAGTTTTTTGCAGCCAGACAATTATTTACACGTTAAACTTTATTTTAGTGAGGACATGTTTAATCTTATGTTTAATTTTGTGTTATTTTATATTTTGATGGCGCTTTTGAATTTTAACTACTAGCGCTAAATAAATTTTTTGATAATATATATATATATATATATATATATATATATATATATATATATATACTATAAATAAAAACAAAAAAAACAATGGCTTAAGTTGCCCTTTGTTTGTGCTAGCACTAGGTAGTATTAAATAAATTTAAAAGAAAAATGTTTCAAGGAACCAGTCAGACTTCTTTATAACGAATTTGATGGTTTTAGGAAAAAATTCTATATTGCCTAAAAACAACACCTAATCATTTATTTTGATAACAGAATACATGGTACAATTGTAAAAAATATAATTTTAAAAATGAAATTTGTTCTTAGTTCTATGCAACAATGATTCATTAAAATTAATTGGGATAGAATTCACAAAATTACTAAAATACTTCAACAAAAAACAATAAATATGATTCTAAGATATTGAAGAAGTACAATAACACCGTTAATATCAATTCATAGAATGTTTGCTTGTCGTATATTACTTTTAACATTTATAAATTTTGTTCGTTATAGAGAAATATTTTCGTTCTATGGAAACAGTTCTGTATGTAAAATTTCAAAAAACATAAAAAATTTGTTATATAGAGATTTTTGTCGTACAGAAGTTCGCTATAAGAAAGTCTGACAGTACTGTTAATAAGGGCGCCTCTGGCAACTGGCGCTTTATAAATTGCCGTACTATTATTATTCTTATTATTATGCAAAAAATTGTGTTCCCCCATCTAAGTGTGTTATGAAAAACAAAAGTGTGGACATAGAAATAACACAAATAAGTGAATAAAAAATTAAAAAATTAATATAGAGAAAAAGTTAGTGGTTCACACTTTCTTTTTTTGTAATGTTCTGAGTGTAAAATATAGGGAAAATTAGGGCTTAATTGCAATTCACCTTTTCTATTTGATTGCCTTTCGTCAAGGTACTTTTTAGAATAATTTTACCGGCATACACTTTGGATGTTTTGATGTCTTTCATCTCATAGCATTTAGCAAAACCACCCTGTCATGAAGTTTGAAAAAGCATTTTACTGATTCTTTAAAAATCAAAGGTTTGATTTAGTGAATTAATTTAAAAATTATTTATAGTTAGCATTACTTGGAATTTTTTTATAAAAACTTGATTGATTAGAAACGAAAATAATGTTAAGTATTATAACTATTCAATTATATTATCGCTATATTATACATATTCAACATAACGAAAAGATATTCCTTTTGTGAAAATAAATAAATTATAATAAACATCAAAAAACATATTATTTTTGATATAAAATCAAAGTATATTTTATGTAGGCTGTCTGTTATTTTCAAGAATATTATAATTTTCAATTCAATAAAACATCTATCCCAACTTTTTATAATTTATGGTTAATTATCGTTTTACAATTAACACCTCACATACTGCTAAAAATCACTAAACAGAAATATGAATGATCCTCTAACGGGGTGGACAACTTAGTAGCAAATATATTAACACTCAATAAGCCTTTGTCATCTGTTCAATCTTGTTTATTTTTTATAAAAAAAAAGTAGTACACTGTTACAATGCTAAATCGTTGTTGTGGTTGTTGTTGATGATGTCTATGATGGTGATGATGACAAAAACTGTTCGATGAAGACTTAGTTGAGAATGTCGTAAGCAAAGAGGTATTAAGGATTTAACCCGTAGACTTGGACGAACTCTATTTTAGTCAATAATAATCTATAAAGTTTTGCTATTATGTCTAGTTGTCTACTGATTCTTAAAGATTATTGATTTTCATTGATATAGTGCGTTACTAATCAGTGAACTGCGTAAATTATCTATCCTTACCTAACTCACTGTGTCTCACTTTAGGGCAATAGTCCTACCTCTCATCTGTCTTTAATAATTAAGTCAATAATTAAGTCCCAAAAATCTTTCTTAAGAACATTATACAATGTTAGGAAATCTGATAGTATAAGCCATTACTTTGTCATAGCTAAGATTCTAACTATCAACAACTATAAAGTCCAAGACTTTCTTTTTTCTTTTTCTTTAATCACTTTAAAGAAATTTTATTTGTATATTTTATTTGAACCCTTCCTACTCATTCCTTCTAAAAATTTACGACACTCTTCTCACTTTAACATCCCTACTCTTCAAACTAATTCTTATTACAATAGCCCTTCAATTAATATGATGAAGTTTTGGAATAAACCATTTAAAACCACTAGGTCTATTAGTTCAAAAACCCTTTTTAAATCTAGATTCTTAAGTTAATTAGCATGACTTTTTTGACTAACTAATCATTCTATAATTTTTGACTAAATGTGTTTTTCATTACTACAGTTTTATTACTTTAGCCAAATTTAAGCTAAATGTATTAGCTAAAGCAGTCATTTATATTTTAAATCTATTTACATGCATGCATATGTATACATAATTATTTGAGAAGATTAATATGTCCTGCGTGTGGAGTACCTCTTCCCTCAGTCAATCTATAATGTGTATTCCATCACTCATTTTCAAAGACTTCTTAGTTTATTTCTTTTTATTTATACACTTTTCTCCATTGAGTTTATTATATGTTATGTATCCTCCATGAACATAAGTATGAGTATGTAAATGTATGTATATATATTTTGTATATGTATGTATATTTATATTTTTTTATGTACTGTAGACCGTAAAAGTTAGTAACAACTTCTGGTCTCCCAGTTTTTAAAATAAATAAATATACATATATATATATATATATATATATATATATATATATATATATATATATATATATATTGGTAACGGACTATCGTTAACGCAACATTTCAAAAATTCAACACTACTTTCAACATTGTTCAACTTTTTCATATTTCTTTTTAATTTATTAATTTTCGAGAAATTACACATTTTATTTTTTTTTTAAATTTTAATTAAATAAATTTGCAAATAGCTGTTTCGAGTTATAAATAACTCATCTTCAGTGCATTATATATAAGGTATGTAAAATATTTGATATAAAGGAACAAGTAATTATTAATGTATATAAATTATTTAATTAAAACAGAAAACCAATAAAGTAAATTTAATAACTATAAACAATATAAAACGCGATTTAAAAAATTTTTTTTTTTTTTTAATTTTAATATTATGGTTGTTAAGGTAAATATCAACGCTCAACCGAGAAGCGCGAATTAATTTATTTAATTAACTACATATTATTAATATTATTTTGACAATATTTAAAAACATTATTATTATTGTTAACGTTATTATTATATTGTAACATTATAATACATATATATACGTAATATTATATTGATCCCTAGCACGAAGGAGGTTCAACGGGTTACCCGGTCCTTGCGGACCAGGAGCGAGGACACGCTGATTCCTTCAGTGTAGCGCGCGTGCGGCCCCGAACATCTAAGGGCATCACAGACCTGTTATTGCTCAATCTCGTGCGACTAAACGCCGCTTGTCCCTCTAAGAAGTCTGCGCCGACGCAAGACGATCGGCGGACTATTTAGCAGGCTAGAGTCTCGTTCGTTATCGGAATTAACCAGACAAATCGCTCCACCAACTAAGAACGGCCATACTAAAAAACTTTATACAAAACAAAAATCCCTCCATGAACATTCAAGTACAGTCTAACAACATTCTACCTTCAAATAGACTACTAAATAAAAACAACAATCATTATAATTATAACTACAACAATTACGACAACAGCAATAATTATAACAATGTTATCACCAACAATATCGATGATGTAAACAACAATCATACCAATAGTGACAACTTCAACAACAACATCAACAACACCAACAACAACATTATTATATTATTACAAATCTTTTGACGAGCATTTTAG